TCCGCAAACAATTTTACAGGGACAATACCAGAAACATTTGGAAATTTAAAGAACTTAACCGATTTGTAAGTGGTGCAATTTTTTATTGTCTCTATTTCTTCTTTTTTTTTTTCTTTTTCTTTTTTGAGTTTAGAGATTTATCATCCTTATTTTACTCTTTTACTACCTGCAGTAGGATAGATGGTAGCAGAATATCAGGAAGGATACCTAGTTTCATTGGGAACTGGACCAATCTTGGAAGGCTGTGAGTACTGCACTTTCACCTTTTATCTTCCTTCTTTTCTATCTCCAAAAAGTGTTTGCAAAAATTGCTTGATTTAATCTCATATGTACCCTTAAATTTTAGAGTCTATCTTAATTTTATCTTTAAATTTTAAAACTCTCACTTCATTTATTAAATTAAGAATTAGTCCAACTTATCTTTTTTTTTGTTAGAATTATTGTTAAAAGCAAACGCAAAATAAGGAGAGTTAAGTGTGATTATATATTTTTTATTATTTGTCTTATCTCATTTTTTCCCGTCAGTTTTTAACATAAACTATAATATAGGAGATTAAATGAGACTAATTTAAAATTTCATAGGTAAAGCGGGAGTTTTTATAATTAAAAAAAGTGGAAATGAGATTTAAAGGGTACTGGTGATAATAATCATTTTCTACTTTTATGATGTGAGAGTACAAATTTGTTGCAGGGATATGCAAGGCACATCCATGGAGGGCCCTATTCCTTCAACCATATCACTTTTGAGAAACTTAACTGAATTGTGAGAGCCTGTTTTTCTATCAAAAAATCATATTTACTTGTGGTTTAGTTAATTAGTTAGATGAAAAAAGTTTTAATAGTGTAACCGTTGAATTATCGGCTTCGTTACCAGGAGGATTTCGGATTTGAGCGGATCAAGCTCAAGTTTCCCGGATTTGCAGGACTTGAATCTTTTGAAAATATTGTGAGTTCAATGTAACTTAATTATGTGCTGCAACTTACTATCTCCATGGTTCTCTAGGACTTACTGAGTTCATGTTTGTGATTCAGGATATTGAGGAATTGCTTAATTAGTGATGAAATTCCGTCCTACATTGGAGATTTGACAAGCTTGAAAACATTGTGAGTGCCTAAAACTTTTTAAGTAGTGATAGGGTATAAACGGTTAATTTTTATAAATTTAATTCGCGTTTAATTAAAGATACTTATTGGTTTTCCTTTGTGTATTCTAAAACTTGTAAAGAAGCTCATTTCTTTGAAAAACAGGATCAATTAGCATTGCCTTCTAGGAGGGTGTAATTGTTAAATATTAACTGTATTTGATGTCAGTGTTCTTTATTTACAATTGACTACATTTTAGAGTATGAAAAGTGAAAGGAAAAAAAATGTTTTTAAAACAAGATGGAGCTATTTCTATATATAATTAATTTGATTGTGCTGTATTCTGTAATTCATGGTGAGAAACTACTAATATATGCCTGAATTGGACATTGGTTTTAGAGACCTGAGTTTCAACAAAATTACCGGTCAAATTCCGCAGACAATGCAGAGTATCACTAAAAATCTAGACTTCGTGTAAGTTGATTACTATTAGAGCATTGGTTTAACTATTTCAAGTGACCAAGACGTATTATTTTGTTTTGAGAAAAGAGCTTACTATTGTTCTATGAATGTAGGTTTTTCACCAACAACTCGCTGACCGGAGAAGTACCAGATTGGATCATGAATACACAAAATAAATTGTTAGTATATTGAGCTAGCTACTTATTCCTATGATCTTTGTTTCATTTAGCTCTCAAGCTATCTATACACTGCATTTTCACAATCGCCTATAATGTTTTTTCTGCACTCGAGAGGTTAAATTTAACGGCGGAACTATGATTTGTATCCCGAAATTTTGGAATGTGCATGCATCCAATTTTTCTACCATGGATGATGAAAAGACACAATCTGATAAAAGCGGAAAAAGGTTATAATGGATGAGATCATTTTTAAGCCTCATTCAATGGATGAGATTTGGGCGTTACATCACAAAAAAAATAGGATGAACTGTAGCCTTACCTAAAATTTTATGTCTTGTTTACCTTTCTGCGGCCTATCAAATTCCATGACTTTCATTTGCAGTGATTTGTCTTACAACAATTTCACGAGGTCATCTCAACTTAGTTGCTCGAGTTTGTCTGTGTAAGTTTTCATCAATATATCTCTCTCTCCTGATATAAAATAGTGCAACCATTTGTGTTCTTCGAATTCAATATATACTTCAGCTAGCTTTTCTGATAAAAGGATCTATGTGTAATTGTTGCGTTAGCAATTTATTAACATATTAATTTTTGAACAGGAATCTAGTTTCTAGTTACTCATCTTCAGAGGGCCAGTCGTAAGTTCTTTCCTCATTATGACTTTCAACTATGATTCATTTTACCACACTATATCGTATGACTCGTGAATGACTAAGAAATGATTTCAATAACTAGATGGTGCTTGAAGAAGGATCTCCCTTGCTCCGGAAAACCACAACGTAAGGACGAATTTTAACCATCTTGTTCATTCATGAACTTGGAAAAGTAACAAGTTAAGATTCAGGTGGATGTCATACTGAGTTTAATGCGTGTTGTACCTGTAGATCATTCTTTGTTTATCAATTGTGGAGGGACGAAATTGGAACATGACGGCAATGAATACGAGGAGGACCTAACCGATGGGGGCGCTGCGCACTTCGTTTCTTCAGCAGAAAAATGGGCATATAGTAGTACAGGGGTTTACATGGGAAAATCTGATGCACCATACAGAGCAACTTTTGCAAATGAGACTAAACCGCAGTTTTATCAATCAGCCCGCCTTTCCCCTCTATCACTCAAGTATTATGGCCTTTGCTTGCGTGAGGGCAGTTACAAAGTGCAGCTTCACTTTGCTGAAATCATGTATTCTGATAACCAGACATTTACTAGTCTTGGCAGGCGCATATTCGATGTCTCAATTCAAGTGAGTGAAAGTAGATCTACATCATTAGAAGTGTATTTAGCACGCATGCCCCCTAAACTTTTTTCCGATTGGCAAGTTACCCCCGTAAAATTTACATTTTCGCAAGTTATCCCTTAATTTAACAAAGTAATGTGGATTGTC